TATTCATTTTAATAAAAATGTGTCCACTTTAAGTTACATAACCTTATTTTACCAATCCTGGTTTTATAATACTAGATTTATTCAAAAAGCCTTTTTAATAATATAACCTTTGAAAATAAATTATGAATTCTTGTCTGGTTTAATAATTGTACCCTATTAGTATTATCTGGGGTCCTGATTTCAACAACTCGATAAGAGTTTGATTTTCTTCGTGGTTTAATGATTAGAAATTTAGTCCAACCAAACAAAACTTTAAAGTTTTTAAATTTCTCAAACCACATCATTTTTTATTAATAAAAAATAATCTATATAAACAGTCTTTTTATAAAATAAATTGTCTAAGCCACAATTTTATTTTTTATTAGAAAAAAGCCAAAAGCATCAAAAAATTCAAAATATTATAAATTATTAGGAATAAAAACTACATCAACTCTTAATAATATAAAAAAAGTATATTGAAAATTAGATTTATTATATCATCTTAATAAGAATATAAATAAAACTTTATTAGAGCGTATTGAAGCAGAACAAAAATTTAAAAAAATACAAGAGGCTTATGAATATTTAATTGTTAATCATAAAGAACCAAAATCTAGAAAACAAAAGACAATCCCAAAGAAAAAACATGAAAATATATCAATTCCAAAGAAAAAACGTGTATCAAAACCAAAGAAAAAAATAACTAATAAAGTTACCAAAGAATTAAAAGAAATATTTAAAGATGTGATAGATCAAAAAATTGATCAATATGTCAATACTTTATTAGCTAATATATTAAAATAAATTTATTTATTCAATAAATTTTCTTTTTTGTTTTTTAATATTAGTATAATTAGCAAACTACATGATAGTATTTACATTATACACAACTAAAATACTAATAATTTGTATCTTTTGAGTTAAATAAATTAATATTATTATCTATACAATAGCAAGTTTCTAAAAAATGATATTTCCAACCTATTTTAAAGTATTGAAAACATTTGAATCTAACAAATAAATTTGAGAATAATTCTTTTGATATGTGTTGATTTAAAATAATACTATTTAATAAAACAATTTTCCAAAATATAAAATTTTTTGTCAACTCTTTCCAACGATCCTCTGGACAACACAACAAAAACTGAACTATGGAAAAACAATATAAAAAGTCTCAAGATAGATACTATTTTCAGTTCTGTCTTTGAATAAACAGTTATTAATAAAACCTAAAGGTGTGAAACACCAAGGAGCAAGCGTAACTTGGGTGGTTTTTCTTGGGGTCAAGCTTCTTGTACGG